AATAAATAATAAATTAGTAATAAGATTTTGTCCTATGAAAATTTTAAATAATGATTAATAATGGAACTACCTTTGGATTACAGCTTAAATGAATGTCTGCCTTTTGTGGCTGGTCAGCATCTGACAAAAGAGAGTAAGCTGACATGTAATTAAACAGTTAAGTAATCTAATCTCAACCTAATTTCATAGTCAACATTCTCTTTTTTCTATTGTATTATCTAGTAAAACTTTTGTTCATTTTTTTTGGCTTTTCTGGGATAAATCTTGTTGGCAGTTCAGTTATTTTAGCAGCTAGAATATCCTTGTCCTGTTTAATTACTCAACTGGGTAAATGCCCAATAAAATAGCAGATTTTTTTAAAAGAACTGTTTCCAGAGAGGATGATCTTTATTTTTGCTGTTACAGTTTATCCTTTTTCTATTGTCCAGTCTTCAAGGCCATCCAGTTCTTGCTTATACCTCAGGTATCCTCACTATTAATAATGGGGAATATTTTTGACATTTTAAAATCCAATATACAGAATCAGTATATAAAAAAAACTCGTTCCAGCTCCTAATCTGCTAAAACAGTTGTCCAAGATGCCCTTTCAGAGGAGTTTGTGATGACAGAGATTAATTTACTCATAACAATGTCAGAAGGGATGCATCATATATCTGCAGGTAGGTTTGCATCCTTTAAAGCTTTAATCCAATAACTTCGGTTGTATCCTTTTGGTCACACATATGTATGCAGATGTTATAATTTCTCTACCAACCAATCCTGTTTGAACATCCACATGTGGAGTATTGTTTAAATTATAAACTTTAGTATTATTAAAGCATTACCTGAACAACAATTAAAAAGTTTGGAGCCATTGATATCCTGTTCTGCTTTCTGCTGCTGACGAGTTTTGTGAAGTAGTGATGGTTTCTAATTGTAATTATTGATATTTGCTCTTGGTGCCATATATCTGTCTTTGCTGGCAGATATCCTTTTGAGTCTTATGCATATTTCTGACTATTGCTGTTATATAGTTGCTGTGGATAAAGTGTTTAATACTGATCTAAGCAGTCTCTCTGTGTGTATGGTTTGTCCTTCTGTACACTGTAGTCAAATTTTACTGTTCCTTGGACTCTGTGTATGAGACAAAAGGCTGATATGGACCCATATATGAAGAATTTTTTTTTTTCTGAATAAATATGAGACCACCCAAATTACTGTTGTAGAACTTGCCAACTTTTTCTGTAAACATTAATCTACTCTATTTTTCTTTATAAAATATAGGTTTACCTATTTTCTGGTAGAGAAATCTTAGACTTTACTAATAGCTGCTGATTTTTTTCGTATAACTTCTATTATATTTGTTCATATTCTGGATCAAGAGTAAAATGTATTCTTTGATAGAATGTAAAATTATGTAATCTCTTTCAACTTCTGCTCCTCAGAAAGCATATAATAGATCTGACTTTGAAGCATAAAATGCACACTGACTTTTCAAAAAATATTTTACTCTCATCTGACAGGGTTACCCCATACACTTAAGAAGGAGTGTTAAAACAACCACATCTCCAATGCAAATTTTGAAAGTAAAGCTAGGAGTGTAATGACAGTATCTGTGAGAAAATGCAGTAGGAAAATTATGTGAATTAAAGACTAAGATTATCCTCAGTGGCAAGCAGGGTTTCTTCTCAGTGTTATGATAATAAAAAACCTACATTGTGGTGTAGAAAATGAAAATCAAATGAAAACATTTTATTTTGGGTGAATCGATAAACAAAATACCTTTTTCCAGTCACAACAATGAGTCTGAAGCTGTAATGTGCTATCAAGTGATTTTGTTCTTTTGTTGTCTAACTTCAAACATCTGAATGTTAAACATTTATTAATATATGCATAATCTTCGTTTCCTTGGCTTTTAAATAATGGAACCAATAACACCACACTCTGAATCCCTATGAAAGAGGACTGAAACAGGAAGCCAGTCTTTTGTCAGGGATTTCACCAGTTCTTAACTCATTACCGTGTTTCAGAAAAAGAAGTATACAGGAACATCTCTTCAAAGCAGTCAGACAGAAAAGCAGTGTGTATGATCATACTTCCTTTGACCAGTCAGTAAGTCTTCCTTACATTCCCTCAGGCAGGTCATGAACAGCTGAATATGTATTTACCATCTGGTACCACACTTGCACTCTTTGCTTCAGCCAATAGCATAGCTAATTCTAGCTACTAACGAATTTTAAAAGATAAAAATAATGGAGGATTCTCTTGGGAAAACCATTTCGTAGTTCAATAGATCTCATAATCAGGAACTCTGGCTTATAACTTATCCTTCATTAATTTCATGTGATTAATTGTTATATGATATCTCTTATATGTTTAATTTTGGCTTCCTCAGAATGTTTACTCCCTTCAAATAAGCAGACAAATGTACAAAATCTTTTTGCAGACATTGTTCAGCTAAATTAAGTACAGTATATTAAAAGGTGTGTGAAGTGACTAGGTTAGTTCAGTGATTCTTTTCTCACATGTGGAAATAAATTGACAGGTTTGACTTAGATTGCATACCAGGAACCTAATAAGATGTGGCTCAGCAACAGCTAGGAATAACTTCTTACTTTGGAGCAAAACACTCCCTTTCTCTGCTATGCAAACACTGTCTTATGGCTTTTTAGCTAAAGATTATTTAAGACCCATTGTAGGCCATTATTCCCTTTCATATAGAAGTTACTGACAATGGCATACATTGGTTAAAAAAATTACATGACAGTGGTATGCAGTGGTTACAAAAAATAGTTATTGTTGAAGTTCCTTATGGTAAAAAGAGGAAATTGTAAGTGCAAATATGGCTGAGTGTTCAAGGCTATTTCCCCACATAAATGGATAAAATCTCTGGATTGAGAAAGGATCAGACACTGTTATCCTTTTTGTACTAAATACAACCTGAGAGCATGAGGAATTCTGTTAATGCCATTGAGACCATCTGTGGAATAAGGATTTGTTTAGGGTATAACCCATATAAATCTATAGACGTAATCTTTAAAATGTACTTTTCACCATCTCCAACAACCAGTCCATATATAGTTGTTCACTCTGTATTCCTCTCCATGGAGTAAATTACTTGTATGTATGATATTATCTCAAATACAAGCTATTTTGTCGCATCTGTTTGAGAGCCATTGAGCCCAAATGTGAGAGTCATTAATACAGTGTTTTTACTTGTGCATCTTTTAAAGCTGTTTTCTAGCTGCTCATTCATACTGGCATCCCGGCATGAGACTGGCAAGAATCAGCTTTTCCTTATGAAGCAGATGCTGCTTCATCTGCACCTGGGCAGATGACCCCCCCCCTCGTATTTTTCCAGCTATGAATACCACGAATAATGTTTCTGCCCTTACCAGACCTCACACTGGAAATCTCTCATGATTTTCAAACTCCTCCACATGTTTTATTTTTAGCTGACAGGAATTTAACCTCTGCACTGGCACCTTTCCACAAGCCTACATGCCTTGGTTTTCTTCAGTGAACAGCAATTGTAGCAAACGTTTCAGAGCTTGTGTATTAGATGCCTTTAGTGTTTGCTGGGGTTTTTGTTTGTTTGCTTACTTTTTTCCCTTGCACAAGCTTTGCCTGGCTCTCTGTAATTCAGTAGTTCTTACCTAAAATCTTATTTAAAATAAAAAAGGGAGAAAAAAACAAACCCAAACATGTTGCATAATTTTCTTTAGCCTGATGCTATCTTTTAGCTGTGGAAACATATCGGTTGATTACATTATGTAATTTCTGTAAAATAAGTACATGATAGAAGAGAGGTGACTAAAACCAGGAAGGCTGATTTTTCCAAAAAGACCATTTTGAACATATTTAATGTCTCAGATCCAAAATGGTTGCTGGATAGTGGTGTAAGTAAGAGTAAAGAAATATTCTGAGACATCTTTATATTCCTTATGGAATGTTTGGGAAAAATACAGTGGGAAATTAATTCTGAAGTCTGACTTGAGTCTCGCAGAATGATTCAGGATCATTTTCAGAAGTGGATTAACATTAAAACATTTTATTATCTTATTATCTAATGTTATACATAAAGTTTTATAACCATCAGCTTAGCATTTTAAAGATTCTTAATTTTGTTATAATAAAACTGACAACTGCAGATAATTTTATATTCCATAATAAAAAAATAAATCTGTGCTGGTAAATCAGTCATACTTTAAGCTCTTAATAAAAGGAAAAATGCCTGTATTTAGATAGCAGTTTGTTCTAAGTACAGTAATATATAATGAGGTCGATTGCAGTAGTTATGTTGAATATTGATTCTAACTTGTACTGATTTCTCTTTTGCTATCTTATTTGCTAAATTCAGTATTGGTTTATTTGTTTTCCAATAGCTCCATTAAAACTAAAATGGCAGCAAATACTTGCTGATGTTGTAATAGGTTTTTATTTTTACACTGATAGGAAAAGACATTTATTTTAGTTTTATCATCCTAAGAACGATAAATAGATGATTGAGTGAGCACTTCTGACAATTGTATTAGAATATCTAGGGTCTACTTTGTCACACAACTCTATTTATATAATGGAGCATTATACAAATATGATGTTTAACTTTGGTTAATGAATATATTCAACTGCAACGGTAAAAGTCTGTTTTAACTTTGGAAACTGTTTAAAGCTTATGGACAACAGAATATTTACAATATCCATTGATGGCTTCTACTCCTTTTGTACTTGCAGGACCCAGGTTTTCAGTATCCAGAAGGGGCCTGGATTTCCAAAGCAGCACAGTTTGCATTTGGGCACCTAAACAGCCATGAGAATTTCAAATGGGAGTCTCCATCCCCTTGCATAATGACACGCCTGGTATGATTTTTCAAAAGATCTCTACACCCAAGACTTTCCAGAAAAAAAGCAAACTTGGGGTTTTATTTTTCATGCCTAAATGTGGGATGGTCTTTTTAAAAATCCACAGTTACTTTTGGTTGCTGAGAGTGAGGAAAATAAAACAGCAAACCAAAGAGTAACTAATCCCCCACACTTCTGTGGGAAGCGTACATGGCTGCAAGCTGTTTAAAGGGTGGCCCCCAGTCTGTAAGGTAATCATAACTCTGATCCGCGTCTGACGTGTTTGAACCCAAAGAGCTGAGGGATCCTGCCACAGAGCCAGTCCCCTCAAACGCGTAGGTCTGAAGTGAGTCATACGGAGGAGCGCTAGGATCTGTATTCGCTTCCTCAAGCTTTTCTGAAATGAATTGCCTGAAGATTGCGCTGTCGGGGCCAACCTGCAGAGACTGTCTGTAGAGGCTGTGGATCTCCGCAGTGACCTTCTTCCGAGGTTTGTGAGTTCGCATCACAGTGCGGGTCCTCAGTGCTGAAATGTCAAAGGCTTCTGTGTCCTCCTCGCCACCTCCTTCATCATCGTACCTGACAATGTTCTCCCTGAATTCTTCCATTTTCTCTGAAAAGGGAGACTTCTTCCTCTGCTGCCTTATCGCTACAATTGCCAAAAAGAACACTGACAAGAAGAGAAGAGGAGAGGAGAGGAGAGGAGAGGAGAGGAGAGGAGAGGAGAGGAGAAACCAGCGGAGCACTGAGTAGTGCTCAGCAGGGTCAGAACAAGAGGGGAGGTGCTAGAGGAGGAGAGGGGAGGGGAGGGAGAGGAGAGGGGAGGGGAGGGAGAGGAGTGGAGAGGAGAGGAGAGGAGAGGAGAGGAGAGGAGAGGAGAAAAAAAAAAAACAACAGAACCAGAGATTCTGAATGTGGTTGGAAAAACTTAAAAAAATGTTAATATCAATGCTGTTGCAAAGTGAAGCTATCTTAACAGATTTTATAGAGCTGTAATTTTTATGGATTTTATGGTTTTGACGTGGTATGTGGTGGGAAAATGGCTACAAAGGGACTTATAAAATAGGTGAATGAAATGGAGCAGTTCTTTTGGTAGATATGCATTTGAAACTGATGGAAACAGAGGCTATGCTTTTCAAAACTGCTTTGGTTTATCACATAATATATTAATTTCACGTTCAGAATTTAAATTCTTGATCTCTCACTCTCTCTCGGATCAAGATCAGATGAAAAAGGAGGCAATGAGCAAAGTATTCTCCTCAGTTGGTTGAATCATCCAGTTCCACAGACTATGCAGGGTGTGGTTCAATTATTTCTGTTATGCTGGTTTGGAAATTTGAGGACTACCACTAAATTTTGTGTGATTTGTAGCAGTACTTACTTACAAGGCCCATGAATCAGAGCAGCTTGTTTCTCTCATATATGAAAGCTTTTTCAAATTTTATTTTAAAGCATTACTCTTTAATCCTACCTTATTTCATTTTTAGCTGAATGATTCCTTTGAAACAGTCTATGACTTTCACAGAGATAATGAGACTAATTTAAGTTTTTAGCTAAATCTTACTGCAGTTGTATTTAATAGGTAGTTTGTGGACTGTAATATACTCAGGACATAGCATGATACAACTACCAACAATGACAGGATTTTACTCCACTTAGGGATATGAGGGACCTGATGTAGCTTGCTATTTCTACATATTTAATATATACTATTTCATTTGATTGGGAGATACCAAGACCAAACTTGGAAGCATTGGAAACAAGAATTTCTACAGTGTTATTATAATATTTACAAAACCCATATAGTTTCTACTCTCCAAACCCTTTGCATGGTGAAGTCTTCTAATGATACACATGATGATACAGGAAAATGGAAGAAAATGAAACTTTGGGTTTCAGATGTAAGCGGCAAACTTATTATGTATAGAACCTTTTATTATTTCATTTTAAATAATCACAAAAATACATTCGAAGATTTAATGCATTTAAAATGTGTGTCTGTAAAGAGAGGGGCAGATTAGTTTATTTTTCTTTCTGATTGATTAATATATTTATCTATATCCCTGCTTTGACTTTTGTGATATGCATAGGCCCAGCAGACACCAAGGGTTTATTCCATCTGGAGAGAGGACGTTGATCAGTATTTCCACTGACGGCCTGGATGATAATGCAGTGATACAGTTTGCCTGATCCTCAGTCCATAACACAGAGTGACCAGGTTCAGATAACCCATAACAACCAAAGAAGACTGAAAATGCACACTGGCCTTCCTGTAAGCTCACACTGACTGCCACATCTAAGGCAAGGGCTTCAATTGGGGCGCTGCTTTCCAGTGCTGTGACTGAAGATTGCCTGTGACAGGGAGAGTTCAGGTTTAAATAAGGTGACTCTGGGAGTGCAGGCAAGTCTAGAAACCAGAAATCCAATCATTTGTTCCTGTTTTGTCTATTGAAAACCAGGAGATGGAAGTAGGGGAAGTAGTGCATCCCTGGACTTTGCTATGGTGTCAAGAAATGGCTAGTGTCTGGCCAGGAATACTCCCATCTAGACATAATAATTATGAAGTACCCTTCCATTGTTTTCATCCTTGCCCTATCTATTCAATGTGTTCATAGGGATAAATAAAAACATACTTTTTTTTTTTTTTTTTACAGACCATGCTGTTTCTGCAGTTTCCTGCATGTCACATAATTTTGAGAGCCCAAAGCCATATGAAGATGCTGACTCATAATTTACAGGTATACTTGCTGCTTCTGGGGAACTCATTTAACCGTCAGACTAAATTTGAGGTGAAATTTCAATGAGTTCTCACCAAGAGATTCAGTCAGAAGGTCAAAGGTACAACAGGAAAGAATTAGAGCCCGCATGTGCTCCTTATGCTAAGGAAAATAAGCCATACTCTTGTGGACAGAATGCAGGCTATGGGTGATTTTTAAATTGTTAAATTTATTTTTTCACTGGTGTAAAATCAAAATAATTCCATTTGCTTTATTGGACTGTATTGGACTTTCTTGTCTTCTGTTGCTGCTATTGCAGATCAAAACACAGCATTATAGTACAGCTGCAAGCGTTCATTTTCAAGCCTCAGCTTTCTTGTAGTTAATGATGCTACGTTTAGTGTTGTATGCTGTTATTTATGGACTGGTAGAGGTCATATTGTATAATGAGGGTAGAAAAAAAGAATGTTCTTTACCTAGATATCCTTCACACGGCCAAAAAAAACCCCAACTATTTACTTAAAATTGTTTTTTATTTCTTTCAGTGATATAGCAATTTAAAAATATTACTATTGTATTTGCTCTCATTAACAAATACATAGGGAGAATAATTTTCAGTGAAAGTTTTTGTTTCTTAAGGCAATGTAATTCCTGTTATTATTGCTTCTTTCTTTCAGGACATTATATTTGTGTAGCTAGATATTATGCTGCAGTTTTCTTGTTTTGATTCTGATTATATTTTTCTTTATTTTTTTTTAGAATTTTGTTGAAAAACAATTTATGTTTGGTTTGCACAGTTTATAATGGTGATATGGTGTCACACTGCTTGGTGAAATCCTAATTCTATCTTCCTTTTCTTACTTTGGAGTTGTTTGTAGTTTCATTAGTGGACAAATGATTTTGTAACATAATTCAGCAGTTGTTTTATGGCATTTCTAGGTATGATGCTTTATGAAATACACTGCTGTATGGCTTAATATGGATATGCCATATTAGTACAGGGGCATCAGGGATTTGGAAGTCTTTCCCTGTTGCTTTGTTGACATCAGCTTGAATTTGGTCTTGAGGCCCGTGACCACCACCAATGACCAAACAGGTCTATCACTTCTCTTTCTTTCCTGGCCTCAGAAGCTACCATACCTTAACCTCACTAACTCAGCCAGGTACAGGGTTTCAGGATGGATATTTAGCTTTTGGGGAATGAATAGCACCGTGTGTCTGCTGTTATAATGGGTCAGTGTCACCAAATAATTAGTTGGACACTGCAGAAATATCATTTTGCAGAAAAAAAGGAAATGCATTTTAGCAGCGACAGCTGAATGCTTCACCAGGTGAAGAAGATGCTTCCCTGAGTGCTGTCACTCCAGTGTCCTGCAGCAACTATAGCCTCATGTGCAGCAGGAACCGCCAGGCTTGGGTGGTTGTTCTGGGTTTGAGTGCCGTATGCCAGCTATGCGTGACCCTTTGCAGAGGAATGAGCACAACTCCTGTGCATTTAAAACACTCTCAAACCCACTTTTCACATCCACAGTCCCCTGAAGGTAATGGATGTTAATTGGTGTCCCGTAAGAAGAAAAAGGAGATGCCCACATTTGGAGAAAAGGCTGGCTGGAGATGCAACCTTGTTAACTGGCAGAGAAACTTCCCGTTTGTTTCTGAAGTTGCTTTCTAAGAGTATCAATTCCTCTCTTTCTTTTATTGTTTTGTATTGATCTTAGCTTTACATTTGTCATACCTAAGGCAGAATAAGTAGGGTATTACTCCTTCTAATATATCCTTACACTAGCAATTTCCTTGTGTAATGCTGTCTTCAGCTTTACCCAGGCTCAATACAGACTTCGGACCAATACAGACGAGTAGGACTATGACTGAACTAAAGCCAACTTTCAGGATATTGCGTTCAAATTCAAATTTTACTGAAAGCTGGGGTGAGGGGGTGAAATTATAATTAAGAAAACAGAAAAGAAATGAAAATTTTGCCTTATTGCATTTTTTCTCAATAGCACTTTACTTCAAAGGGAAGTCAAGGAAACATATGTGTCACTTAATCAAGCCTACTATAAAAGGAAACAGAGTCGTTTCTGTTACTCATACTTACCTATGAGTATTAGTATGCAAGCTAAAACAGCAACTAAAGCTTCTGTGCTGAGACCCATGGCATACATGAAAGCTCCGTATCGACAGTAGAAGGTGTTAACTTCGATGTCACAGTCGCAGACGGTGATAGTGAGAGTATTTGTGCTCGTCAGTGATGGGGTTCCGTTATCCAGAATTAAGATTGGCAAGTAGAAAGAAAACTGTTCTTGCCTCCTGAAGCCACTTCTTGCTGTGAAAATTCCAGCTGTGTTATCTAGAAGATAAATTATTATGCATAATATGCGTTTATCACTTTTTAACAACAATAAAACTTCAGTGGAATCTGGCCTATTTAAAAACAGTTGTAGTGTGCAAAGCTTCTACGATTCTATGGTTCTCATATTAACGGAGTTAAAAATGTAAAACCAGGCACTGACATGTGGTGGGGTTTTTGTCTCAATCATCAATAATCGCATTTATTTTTGACAAATATATTTCAGGGGCAATAATAAAATTTGGCCTAGAAGCTCTGTTTTTAGTGTTCAGAGCTAAAAAATATCCCACCATTTTCAGTACCTGACACCTGCTCAGACTAATTGGTTCTTAAAACAGTTCCATGTAACCAGCTGCTACCAATCCAGCAGTTTGCAGATGAAATATAGAGAGATGACCAATAAAAAGGCTTCAAAAGTGTGCTTGGCAGCACACAGAGAAAGCAGGTGTCAAGGGAAAGAAGAGAAAGCAAGAAAAAAGTCCACAAAAACAGTCTTTTGTTTCTTTCCGTGGCTTGAAAATTGGAGCTGGCTGAACTCCTACTATCTAAATTAGGGAAAAGGTGAGAGGCTCATGCCTTGCTTTGTATTTAACTATTACTGTTTTGAAATCAGTTCTGTACAAAACCCAGTGAGCAGCTTAAGTTCAGCTCCTGCTGCATATCAACTAATTCAAATCTGAAACTTTGCTTGCTGCAAAAAATATTGGCCATGTCCTAATCTGTGTATAATGTTTACATGTCAGAATTTTTTATCGTGGCAGGGTGAATTACTGTATGTGCGCATACCTGTATGTAGGAAAAAATAAAGTGTTTCCACCATTATTTCTATGGTCATAGAATCATTAGGTTGAAAGAGACCTGTAAGATCAAGTCCAACCATCAACCCACCACCACCATGCTCACTAAACCATGTCCTGAAGCACTGCACCAACAAGTTTTTGAACGCCTCCAGGGATGGTGACTCCACCACTGCCCTGAGCAGCCTGTTCCAATGTTTGACCACTCTTTCAGTAAAGAAATTTTTCCTCATGTCCAATTTAAACCTCCCCTGGTGCAACTTGGGGCCATTTCCTCTTGTCCCATTGCTTGTTACTTGGGAGAAGAGACTGGTCCTGCCTTTCTACAGCCTCCTCTCAGGTAGTTGTACAGAGCAATAAGGTCTCCCCTCAGCCTTCTCTTCTCCAGATATCTACCCAAACAGTCTACTGAAGTTAACTCCTCCACATTTAAGTTCTAGGTTTCTGTTATAATTTGGAAGATAACTCTGAGATTAAATGCTCCAGACCTGTAGATACCTTTTGCCTAGGACTATCCCAATTCACACAAACATTTCTATGAAATGCAGCAGAAAAGAGAGATTAAGGGCTGACCCTACCATGTTATAAAAGGTGGGTTCGTTTTTTCCCCCATCAATAGCCACCAAAAGGAACTGGAGGTATTGCCTTGTTCATGGCTCTGCTTGGACTTTGTGCAGAGTAAGCAAAGGTGGGAAAGTCTCGCACTTGTACACAGCTTGACCTTAATGTAACAAGTTATCTCTTCCTGGCACTGAGAGGTTAATGAAGCTGGGAATTGAAACACATATTAATGCATTAACTGTAACTTTGGAGATATTGAGAGTAGTTCTCTGTTTAACATTGTCTGAACGTTCCAAAACTGATTTCCATTGATTTATTCACCTAGGCAGAACATTCAAATAATTAGCAAAGTCAATAGAAGCAATGTGTACTTTATTTGAGTCTGAAGAAGCTCTTCTTTGTAGTCTCAGCAGTCATCCTCCTTGCAATTCCATCAGATATTGCACTTATATTTTTCACCTTAGACTGATTTTGCTTGATATCCTTCTATATCACTCTTTGTAAGAGTCCCAATCAATATCAGTTCTGAACAACAATAAAATACACGTAGAAGACATTTTATGATGTCATCATTAATCAGCATATGTAGTTTAAAATATATTAGGAAATAAGATCAGATTCATATTTATCAATGTTTATAATTTTGGTCTTGCTTAAGGGGTGAAATAACAGACTTGTATTAACAACAATCTTCTCTTTCTGGCAATCCTGTTTCTTAGACAGATAATTTTAAGAAGAAAGTTGATATTTCCCACTGTATCCTACAATAAGAAAATGAATTTTAAGGAATACCAGTGTACTTTTCATCTTAGCATTTTTTCTTTCCTTGAAATGAAACTTGTCTTTTGCTGTTTATGTCACTTGGATGAAAAAGGAAAATAAACTGTGTAGTATTATTTTGAAATGCACCTCATGACATGTTCATTTCTTATAACAACAATTTCTATCTATTTAAGTGAAAAATTTTAAAAATCGGTGATGTGAGGACCACTAGAAGCATGCATCTTTTATTAGGAAGGTCTTAAAGAGCTGCATGAATGACACCACCTTGATTATCTTTGACAGTAAAATGTGAGTTGTTTGTGGCCTCCTGAGCCAATGAGAAGTAAAAACGGTGACCTTCTGCTGAGTCATCTTGATCCACTGCACTGATGCTTTGAATTAGCTGGAAACAGAAATAAACAGTATTGTTTAAGAACAAATGTATTTAGTTATCCTCTAAAACAATAAAAGGACATATCAAGCAAGTTAACTGTCGATGCTAGAGATGTGATCTGTGAATATGTATTGCGTGCGTGTTATACGATCACAAATATACACCTCCCATACTCAAACTATCTCATCAAGAGTGATATTCTGCAAATACTGCTTTGATTTTTCACCTGTCTGAGAGGGGCAGGCATTAAAATTTTGAGAAAATGTAAAAGATTTTCTGGATCAAAAGACAATGGGAAAATGAATTTTCCATAAATGAAAAAAAGTAATCATATATATAGTGTTTTGTCCTTTTTTTTTTTTTCCAGGTGAAAAGTATATCATTCTGCAATTGAACACACCCCTTTATAAGAAACCCATTTCCTTCTGGCCACAGACACATTGACATCATTCAATTGATATATTGTAGCTCCTGTAAGTGAGATATGATGACAAATCCGTGTGCTGAATTGCTGATTCTGGATATTATAACAGATTGATTATGCAACTTCTTGACTGCTTTTTCTCAAGAAAGCAGAATAACCTTCATTTACAAATATGTCAAACCAGATAATCATTGCAAGATAAAATACGAAATAGCAGTTATCATTCAAAAGATATCATTCTTTCTTCCCTGTAAATGAACAACCACATTACAGTTAAAAAAAAAATAACAATATTTCTGTTTAAAAAGAGCTTATATTTGTTACCTTTATCAGTAAATATTTAATGACCTGGGCATCAGCATATATTGTAAGTGAGTATTCTTGCCAACCAGGTGGAAAGCAAACTGATGCAAGCCCACCAACTTTCGGAAAAGTGTCCGATTTGAACTTGGTTTCTATTATATCAGTCGTCTCATGCCTTGTAGATATTTGTACCCAAGACACTTGAAGCTTCAACTTTCCCCAAACCAGAAAGCATCTGAATGCTACAAGCAGTGCTTTAAAAGCAAGATTGTAAGCCAATGGAAGTGACTATAGCTTTCCATCTGTGCCTTTGAAAACTCTTTCCTGATTAAACCATTTTTCAGTCAAAGATCTAAGACTTCAGCACATATTCTTTTTCTTTTCAAGCAAGCTAAGTTTGATGAAATCATCACAGCAGAGTGCAAAATGTGGCTCATAACCCAGAAGCTTTGTATTCTTAGCACTCTGCCCTTTTGATATCTGAAACTTATTTCAAATATAAATTTTCACTCTATGGAAAAATGAGGACCCTCGAGAATTTTTTATTGCCACTAATGAGAGGAGTGATTGTTCAGTGGTGACAGTGTACAAATGATGAAGCTTCTTGAGGAAATTTTCTTCCTTTTCCTCAGAGCAAACACAATAGCTAAGGTGATGCAAATACAGGTATGGACATGCAGGTCAAGAAATCAGTGAAGAGCAATAACTGACCTCTAATATTACCTGATAATAAATCTCAGGCTTCATTTTTTAAGGGAAAATATGCTCAATATGAGCAGCAATAGAGAACAAAACTATATATACAGTCTGAAACATGAACAATGGCTCATTTTTGTGATAATATCCTGCTATATACCTGAAAAAATGGAAAAAGACTCTGCTGGCCTTTGCAAAAAAACTTTGTATGGGTGTATGTCCCTCTGTACAATTCAGGGTCTATCAAGCTAGACTGAATATGTGGAGTAATATAGTAATCTATAAAGACATCTTAGCTACACCTCTTTTTTAATTATTATTGTTTTTTACTTTAGTTACTTGGCAGAGGAGAATTACCTACCTAACTAGATAAAAACCTCACATTAATTATAGATGTGATTTTTATACTTCCAGTTTTATTCTGGTTAATAGTTTTTTAACCAGATATTAGCATTGTCTTTGGAAAGTGTATTTGTACAAATGTTTCATGTTCGAAATTAATAAAATAATTTCAGTTGTAAATTAGATACTGCTTTGCTATTTCATTATAACTTCCATTGCTTTTCATACAGAATGTATGATTTGCCCATATAAATTTTATCTATATCTGATCCTATCAACATAACTCTGAGGAGTATATGTCTAGCTGAAAAAAACCCCACCTTCTCTTGTTTTGATCTGTACTGTGCTCTTTTACACAAACTTAAAACTCCTATGGTTATTCTAGGTATATTCACATGCCTTTGAGGATTCACCCCAGAAGCAGGAGAGTATTTGGAATATAAGGACAGGGCAAGCCCTTATTGTTTATTTCTAACTTTATCACTTCCACTAAGATCCAGCAAAACCCAGATGAGTCTATAAAATATTCAGAGCTCTGATTTTGCTGACTCTAAAGGAAAAAGCACACAGAGAAGGAAACAGTTTCTTTCTTTTTTTTTTTCTTTTCTTTTTTTTTTTTTTCTGGTTTCTTAGGGTATTGTGTATCTAACCTAGAAGACTCTAGCCTTTGACCAGGGAAACCAGCATCACAGACTGAAAGTCTGCACTTGTTTTTTGAGTGAGGTTTTAAAAGCCCCCTACATTTCAGTGTGCAAACAAAGAAAATAGAGTGAATGATGTGTTGCTTCTTCAAGGTTATAACAGTTACTGTATTGACTAGGTTGAAATTTAATTGCTGTAAAATTTCTTATATCAAGTCTCATTAATCTAGAAACTTTAATAATCCAGCAGTTCATTTGAAAATGTGTATTTCTTTGAGACTAATTTTCTTGATTTTTTTTTTTTTTTAAACTGATTGAAGTTCATGGTGGGTGGGCCTCATTTACTCTTTCTTTCCAAACAGACCGAGATCGCTGGTGGGAACAGCAGGGGTTCCTTTCATCAACGGTCACAAAAACATGTGTCCTGCTATATTCAACTTCCCTATCCATCTGATTAGTGGGCACTTTCATCTAATAAATATCATCAGTGGGGGAGTCTTAAGTCATCAGTAACAGCTCTCATTGATCTCTCATTGATTAACTATTTTGTATAGAAGGGAATTTCTATAAACCATTTTGGGCTGCATGTTTAGCTGAATGTTGTTTGTCTTGCAAATAGCAGGTTATGGACTATGGAGTAGTTGACTGCTTGGTAGTCTTGAAAATTAGTTGAAAATTTATTTCCTCAACCTGCAGTAGTCTCACTGCATTGGAATTATGGAGATGTGCAGAAGAAGGCAGAAAGCTTCTCTGTAACAGTCCTCTGCTTCTAAGGGCTTTCTCTCTACCAAGTTCAGGTTAAGGCATAGACTGTCCATCTGAACAACCATCAGTACCATTAATTTTTATGCTGGAGTACTCTGAGTGTATAATTCAGAGTCCTTTGTGCATGCTCCCATACCCGACTATAGTCTTACCAGTAGACAGATGGGAGGAAGTAGCAACAGTTTGCCACCTTTCTCTTTCTGCTTTAGTTTCTTTTGCTTCGCATTCAATACTTTCTTTTTCATCCTTAAATAGGAGCTCTGCTTTGTTTAATCTGATGCAAGAGATCTGATCACCCAGCTGTTTTGGGAGTACAGAATTGGTTTTCTTCAAAGTGGTAGGATTTTTCTCGTTGCTTAATAATGTTTGATGACCACCGAAGTTTAGTGCAGGTGAAAGATTAAAAAGTTCATTACTATGATCAATACCTGCGTTTTCTAGGTAGAACTTCTACCTCAAGATGAAGGTTCTCCTTTTGACTGCTTCTATTTCTTTTTTGAAAAGCAAATTGGCACAATATTGATCTGATTTCTCTGGGTCTACTGTAAGATGATTCTGCTTAGCTATAAATAAAATGGTGTGTATCTCAGCAAAGGAATAATGATTCTAAAGCTCATGTCATGACACTTAGGTGCCTTTTTATGTTTGTTTGTATATGCTGATAAACTCTTCCTACCTGTTCCATTCTGCTATGAGATAATGTTGTTGAATCACAGTCCATATAAAACAGAAATGGAATTTTCCATGGACCACTGAGCACAGTGTTTCAAAATATCACTTTACACTCCGTGCATCTGCAGGTGTAGCTTAGAGTAAGGGCCTGCTAGAATATATGGTGCTTTCACAGCTTCACCATGTTTTTGTACTCTAAGGGAAACACTCACTGCTTTTTTCTTTTTAAGTTTTTATTTTCTTATCACTATGGCTCAGATGCTTTTTGTAAATGATGAAGAGAACATAGTAAGATGAAATAATAAACATTGGCTTACTAACCCATTAATTTGCTTCTCTGCTATCAAAAATTATTTTACGTCATGATTTGTTAGAAAGGACCTGTTTTATCAAACTGCTCATTGTTAACATTAATTGTATATCTCTAGAATTTGATTGAAGATTTTGCCTCTTTTCTTCTGTCAACATTTCATTATGTAGAGAAGTAATATCAAATGAGTACTCTTCACTTTCATTGAAACTGATGATTATTTTATTATATACTAAGTACTGAGTAAATTTTTTTTTTTTTTCTTATCTCTAAGTGCTCTGCATACATAGCCACTTCTTTGGATCTAACAAAAATTACTAAGCAAGCTGCAACATCAAAGTCACTTCATATATGATCCCCAAATTACCAGAACTCAGAATAGTGAGAATAAATATGTATTAGAGAACACAGCATTAGTTCAGAATGTAGGTGTTTCCAATGCGGTTTGTCTGCGGCCGAAATCTGCTTTCTGCATGATAAGAAGGCAGATCAATATCCACAAAAAGGACTGAAATTACCGTGCATGAAAATAGATGCATGCTAGATGGTCAGTTTGCTTACATATGATGTAAGATATTTGATATACTTTCAACTTTCAAGCTTCAGTTTCAGGCTCAGCTAATTTATTAATGCCTTGGGAATTAAGCTTTCTGGGTCAAATCCATTCTTGCAGGGATGTCTCTAGTGTTATCTTTGGGACAGATTTGGTCCATTTGTATCCTGATAATTTTTATAGAATATTATCTTTAGAATTTAACATTTTGTAGTTACTGTACACACATATACTGGGTATCTATAAAGGATTAATACCACATTGTGGTCACCATTTACCATGTCTGCATACAGTTATAAAGTCAACAGATCAAATCAAAAGGGAATCCTGGGTTTGGATGTATTATTATTATTATTAATATTGTTCTATTTGATCTGATACTAGCTATAGCTGTAGCAGGATAGAAGTCTATTTTACATAGAAACTTTTGAGTTATTTTGAAAATAATGTAACTAATACTGGTGTTGCAGTGAAACAATGTTTTCAATGTGCAAAAGAAAACTTTACTTGTTGTTAGTACATAGCTGACTTGGATTATAGAAGAGAACAGAACTGTAACATGAAATGGATAGTGAAAAATCCATTCCAAATGTCTAATAAACACAATGAATGGTTTTGGAATGATGCCAAAAAAACCTATCTATCTTCTTTACTTCCACTTTTATTGTCAAATTTCAAATTATAGTCCCACAGACCAAAATGTAATCCTTCTGTTTGAATGTTTTTTCAGACAGGCTAAGCTAAACATGTCTGTAGCTCTCACAAAACCACCATACAGGGACATGAAGGTCAACACTCCTAGAATAAAAGTGGAGAAAGAATTTCTTATAAACTTTCAGAAAATCGAAAACTTCAAAACAGGCATTCTTCTCTAGATTGAAGCTACTGCTAACTGCATCTAGGTTTGGATAAATAAGACAACAATTAGTTTTATTCATGATGTGTTTCACAGCCTAGTATACTCCAAGGCTGTGCAGAAAAAAATTTGGCACACAACTCTCTGTTGCTTTTATAGTAAACCAGGCAGACACCAAGAAACAGTAATCGAAATGAGAAACTTCATTTTTGACAGTGTCTTCCCCTTGGCAGTGCTTTTCCTGCCTTTCACCCAAACACTGTAAGCTGGGGGATGCAAATGTATTTCGGAGTGTCCCGTGAAGGAAGACACAACTCAGCTGAGATCAGGGAAGCAAGTGAATTCCAGAGGTTCAGAACATCTCTGAGAGTATCTCTCAGGGTATCATTTCCAGCTAGATGGATAGAGACAGCTATTTTAGAAACTCAAATGCAATAGGATATCTATATATACAAGCTTTGATCTCAACTCATAACATGTAAGCAGATTCCTGAGCTGTTTGGAATTGATTGCAGAAACATGGCTAAGATAAAAAGGTAGGTAATGCCCTGATTAAGCCCTTCAACTGCTTAAACTGATTCTTCTGAAATGTAAATTGTGTTATTTGGTGGACAATCAGAGCATCTATAAAATAATTTTTGAACCTTTTAACTTCTTGCTGGTGAAAATAAAGAACCATTTTTTCTGTGAGTAAAAAGTGAAAGAAAGAGAATAATAGCACTGAAGAAGATATATCAGCTATCAATTCTGGTTTAAACATAAACATTGAATAAAATATCATAAATTTTGTGATAATTATGCACTTTAATAGCAATTTCCTGTTGTTCTTCCTAAGATCATTTGTTAACAGTAACATTACTTAACATTACTGTCATGATCTCCAAAGGCTAAACTAAAGATTCCTGTGACTCTCAAAAACCTATAGCAATAATAAAAAAATCTAGAGTAACATTTTGCCTGTCTGTAAAATGAGAAAAATATCCTACTCATTCCTCATTCAGGTATTACAATCTTATACAGGGATAATTCTGTGTCCTATGGTCAAAGAGTTTATTATTATTGTTACTACTACTATGCTTTACAATGCCATTTTTTCCAGTGATTTTTAAAATTCTTTAAATATATATATATATATATACACACATTTAATTTGTTATTGAAAAGTAGCCATTAATGGGCTAGCATACAGATGTTATTTATCAGCAAGCCACCATGGAATAATAAAAACCTTGGGAAATAAATCACCTGGGTTTTTATATTGTAGGCAAGTCCAAAACATGGATTACAAATATTCATTTTATAAGCTTCCATATATAATTCATGGTGTCTTGAACACAAGGAACATGAAGTGCCATTTGCTGCAATGCCTGTACTTTCATCTGTCAATGAGTTACCTGAAGACCAAAGGAAATGGCTTGCTCCAAGTACCTCTGAACCAGACGTAGCCTTTGAAGAGTGGAAAATTACCAGATGCAGAACAAACAAACCAACTGCTGATACGGAAATATAAAAATGGATGCAAAAAACCCTATAAAGACACTACTATAAAACTACTTTTGCTACAAGGAAAGTTTTATTTAACTGCAGACTAATCAAGGTCAAAGTAAATCAAGCTGGTATAAAAAAGAAAGGCTCTACAATTCAGAAATCAAAACACAGCAAAACGTTTGAAAGGAACCATCACAAATATCCCAAAGGTCTCTTTTGTGTGTCCAAAGAACGCTTTAAAGTTGTGAAAAAAAATATAGATTTTTCTTTTTGTTGTTGCTTTTTCGTTGATCATTTTGTACCCTTTTTTTTTTTTTTTTTTTTTTTTTTTTTTTTTTTTTTTAACTTTGAGTATCTTGTTTTTCTTTTCACAGTTTTCTTTTAGACTCATGTGTGGACCCTGACAGCACGCTTATTCCACAGCTTAGGGCTTAGGCTGTAGAACTGGATCACTTAAAAAAAAAAATAAAGCTGTAGAGAAAAGTGGTGGAGGAAAATGGGGGGTCAGCAATGTGCCTGGTGGGTTAGGGCAGCTGGCGGAAGTGATGCCATTTGCCTGGGGAGCAAGTAGGAAATGTAAAAATCTCTCCAGGGAAGGTTGCTTAACACAACAAGCCCATAAGCTGCCAGCTAGGGAAGGTGTTGCAAGGGTTGTGACTTAAAGATCTTCAGATTTCCGCTGAACTAGACAGGGTTTGAATTCAGTTGACAATAAATGATTTCTGATAAAGAACATATGAATCTGATTTGAGTCTGGTCTAAGTCTCGTTCTTCTCAACTATGTTATGCTGCTGTTGCAAATACCAGGCCTAGTTTTAACTTCTGACATGAACATGAATAAAATCTGTGTTTTATCCTGGGGTTTTTTTCATAAGTTTCTGTCTGTATTTCTCTATTACCCATTTTGGTAGACAAACAAGCAGATGTATTGATTTTGTTTTAAACGGGGAAAAATACACATCAGTCTTCTGAAATCTAAATTTCAAACTATACATATATCAACAGAACTAATTTAGGAAACAGACAAAATACAGCCTGTACTGAAATAATCAACATTACAGGAAATAGTAACATGTCAGATCAAATCTTCATTGTGATGAGAAAGCTGATGGCTAACTCCTTCACACTCACCTGGCCAGAAACTGCATTTTCACAAACAAATGTTTCATAATATTTAGGGAATTCTGGTGCATGATCATTAACATCGAGAACTTGGATATACACATTTGCTTCTGCAATTTTTTCAGGATTTCCTAATGGTTAAAAAAGACAGAAATCAAAAGGTATAATTACTATGCATTTTAAACTAATGTAGGCATTACAAAATTTTACTTAGATTCTGCAGAGAAGAAAATACTCACTGGGACCTACAGACACATTTTATGCTAAATCTTTCTAATCTCTTCAAATATAACTTATATATATATAAAAGGCATTTCCTTTATTTGTTTGGGTTCTGTCTACAAAAGGTATAAAAACAGGTGGGGTTTTGGTTTTTTTTTTGTTTTTTCACCAATCCATCAAGCTAAATTATAGTAGTATATCTTGAAATATATAAGGATATTTCATGAAATATTTTGGATTTGTTCACTCTTTCATTTACCAAGTCAGAAACTGATCTAAATATAAAAATATAAAATCTGATCTGGAGAAATTGAATGAGGTTTTATTCACACAGAACAATTTACTGTACTACTTGTGGAAGCAGAGTGTCTGCTCCTTCAAGGGCATCTGGTCAAGGACCTTATTCAATGCAACAAGAGTTAGTAAGAAAAGGAGGAAGCTGTAAACAAGAATATTGTTCCTCAGGGATCGTTAATGGAGCCAGTGTTATTTAATATCTTTGTCAGTGACATGGACAGTGGCATTGAGCGCACTCTCAGCAAGTTTACCAACAACACCAAGCTGTGTGGTGCGGTCAACACGCTAGAGGGAAGGGAGGACATCCAGAGGGGCCTGGATAGGCTGGAGAGGTGGGTCTGTGCAAACCTCATGAAGTTCAGCAAGGCCAAGTGCAAGGTCCTGCATCTGGGTCGTGGCAATTCCAGGCACAGACACAGGCTGGGCGATGAGTGGATGGAGAGCAGCCCTGGGGAGAAGGGTTTGGGGTGCTGGTGGGTGAAAAACTGAACATGATCCAGCAACGTGCACTAGCAGCCCAGAAAGCCAATGTCATACTGGGCTGCATCCAGAGCAGTGTGGCCAGCAGGTCGAGGGAGCGGATTCTGCCCCTCTGCTCTGCTCTGCTCTGCTCTGGTCAGCCCCCCGCCCTGCAGGGCTGCATCCAGCTCTGGAGCTCCCAGCACAAGACAGACGTGAAGCTGCTGGAGAGAGTCCAGAGGAGGGCTACCAAGGTTGTCAGGGGGTTGGAACACCTTTAATGTGAGGACAGGCCGAGAGAGTTGGGCTTGTTCACTTGGAAAAGTGAAGACTCTGGGGAGACCTTCTAGCAGCCTTCCAGTCCCTGAAGGAGGCCTACAAGAAGTCTGGGGAGGGACTTTTTACAAGGGCCTGCAGTGACAGGACAAGGGGTCAAGATTGGAGGGTGGGAGAGGACAGGTTTAGACTAGATACAAGGAAGAAGTTCTTCACCCTGAAGGTGGCAAGACACTGGCACAGGTTGCCTAAGGAAGCTGTGGCTGCCCCCTCCCTGGCAGTGCTCAAGGCCAGGTTGGATGGAGCCTTGAGCAACCTGGTCTAGTGGGAGGTGTCCCTGCCCATGGCAGGGGGTTGGGAACTGGATGGTTCTTGAGGTCCCTTCCAAGACAAAACATACTGTGATTCTATGATTCTATGAATACACAGGGACACAAACCTGAAGGACAAATAGTAAGGGAGGGGGTGGTGAGAACCAAACCTGGTCAGACACACTAACCGATGGGGACACATGAAAGCATGAGAAAGTTTATTCCTGTGAGGTTATCGGGTCAGGGACCTTTTCCATTGAGAAACGGAGGGAGAAAAAAGGGAAAACAGAAACAAAATATACCAAGACACAGACCTGATAAAGCAAACATGGAGACAATGACAAGAAACAAAACTCACAATAATTGATGGTCTATCCAGAAACTACATGGCAACAATTCCAGGTAGACTAACCTGGATTTTGCAACTGATAAGACTGTAAACCAGAGGCACCCCAGACCCAGAAGGATGTGGGAATCGATGGAGCCGTAGAGACCCATGGGAGAGGTGCAGGAAGGAAGAAAGAGGGGTCAGAAAGAAAGGGGGATAAAAAAGGCCGGTGGCATGTAAAATGGGGCCGGTCAGTATGCTTGTCTGGCTGAGCCCTGTGCCTGATTACCAGCCTGTCCTATAATCTTATATTTTCTTAATAAATCTTTTCTTACCTATGTCTCTGCTTAATCTAACTCTGTATCATTGCGTGCCTATGTGTGCCTCAGGGACTAAGTACCAGCTACTGGTGAGACCTGCATATCTGTGAGTGAAAACTGGTGCCAGCTACTGGAGTCAGGGTGGTACATGCAGGAGATGGGATTTGTGAATGTGAGGTGCATGAGGAACGAGTATGGGAGTGCTGCAGGTTTGCCAGTGAGCTGGACCAGGTTGTGAGCTGGGGATCCATGAAGCAGATAAGAAGACCTCGGATCTGGGCAGGAGTGCCAGTGGGACAGAGGGGCTGTGCTGGTACAGGAGGGATCTGTGAGTGTGTGCATGTCCTTGTGAACTTGGAGAGTGTCATGTGTGTGTGTATGTGTGTGTCCGCACTGGTCACCTTCTGCCTCCCCAACCGAAGAGGAGGGGACTTGGCTGGCTGTCCTTGTAGTTTATGCAAGTCCTGTAAGTAGGTGCTGCTGAAGGCAGAGCCTTGTCTGTGGCAGTCTGCATGACCAGCCATGTCAGGGTCCTCTGTGTGTGTGTGTGTATGTATCTGCGAAACGAGCTCAACTTTGCTACAGGTTGAGCCTGCAAAAAGGAAAGCATCAGCCGCACCCTTGAGCCTGGGCAGAGGCCTCAGGTCCCTGGGCACCAGGCTGGGCTCCAGTGGCTGGACAGGAGGATTCTGGGCTGCAGCAGCTGGAGGAGGTGGCTGTGCTTTCTCACATCACTTAACAGCATGCTTACCACAGCAGTTGGGCACAATCCTTTAAGCAATTCTGTTACTCTTTCTCTTCTTCTGGCCACGGGGTTGAGGGAGGGGATTGTCCTCCTCTACTCTGCTCTGGTGAGACCCCACCTGCAGTACTGCATCCAGCTCTGGTGTCCCCAGTGTAAGAAGGACATGGACCTGTTGGAGCAAGTCCAGAGAAGGCCACGAAGATGCTCAGGGGGCTGGAGCAGCGCCCACGTGAGGACAGGCTGAGAGAGTTGGGGTTGTTCAGCCTGGAGAAGAGAAGGCTGCAGGGAGACCTTAGAGTGGACTTCAGTGCTGAAAGGGGGCTACAGGAAAGGTGGGGAGGGACTCTTGATCAGGGAGGTAGTGATAGGACGAGGGGTAAGAGTTTCAAACTGAAAGAGGGGAGATTTATGTTAGATATTGGGAAGAAATTCTTTACTGTGAGGGTGGTGAGGCACTGGCACAGGCTGCCCAGAGCAGCTGTGGCTGCCCCCTCCCTGGCAGTGTTCAAGGCCAGGTTGGATGGGGCTTGGAGCAACTTGGTCTAGTGGAAGGTGTCCCTGCCCATGGCGGGGGTGTTGGAACCAGATGGTCTTTAAGGTCCCTTCCAACCCAAACTATTCTGTGATTCCATGATTCTTCAGTGTTTTGAAATTTTTAAGCATTGGGAGAAAATTTCACCAAAATTCATGTTTTAAAAATATTTCTGCCACTGCTAGACATGAAGTAATTGCAGTGTATGCTCATACTCAACCCTAGCCAAGGCAGAAAGCTGAGATTTTAAATTTGGAACAACAGAACTGTTATATCTGCTGGTCTCCAAACATGTATTTGCAAAGTCTGATTTTGCCCAGGCATATCTAAGGCATTACTGTTGACAGACATCATAGACTGAGCTTATAGTTTTGTTCCAAGTATTATTTGCACAACAGATTTAATTCTTAGGCATTTTGTACCTACAGAAGCTAGACTGCTTCTGTTGTACAAGTATACTTTATTACTGTATATATCTAAAGCCACTTTATTACCGCAGCTTTAGATATAAAAGGTATGTCAGTATGGCTTATTCCTGTCTGAAAACGAAAATAAACTCTGTTAATATAAGGCACTATTTTGCCTGCATTTACTGTACTTACACAAGGTTATATTGTAATAACTATCTCAAACAAGGAAGAGCCAGGCCTAACCATATGAGTTTCAGGGAACAAAAGCTGTGTGTAGACTAGGCAGAAAAAACTATTTGTTTATGTATTAAAAATGTTTATAAAAATGTCACCTGAAACCAAGGGAAGGAAGATCTGCAGGTACAACATTCTCCTGGAGAAACTGGCTGCTCATGGCTTGGTCGGGTGTATTCTTCACTGGGTAAAGACCTGGCTGGATGGCGGGGCCCAAAGAGTGTTGGTGAATGGAGTTCAGTCCAGCTGGCGGCTGGTCACAAGTGGTGTTCCCCAGGGCTCAGTGTTGGGGCCAGTTCTGTTTAATAACTTTATGAATGATCTGGACAAGGGGATTGAGTGCTTCCTCAGCAAGTTTGCAGATGACACTAAATTGGGTGAGAGTGTTGATCTGCTCAAGGGCAAGAAGGATCTGCAGAGGGACCTGGACAGGCTGGATCGATGGGCTGAGGTCAATGTTATGAGGTTCAACAAGGCCAAGTGCCGGGTCCTGCCCTTGGGTCACAACAGCCCCATGCAGCGCTACAGGCTGGGGATGAGTGGCTGGAAACATGGCCCACAGAAAAGGACCTGGGGGTGGTGGTTGACAG